TCGCCCGTGTGCGAGGGGCGTGGGTTCCCCTCCTCGGCCTGCGGCTCTGGGGTGAGCACTGAGGGGCACAGGACTGACCGCCCTGCCTCTCTCCTGCCCACTGTAGGGAGAGCCGGGGATCCCAGGGCGCTCGGGGCTGCCGGGGAGGAAAGGCGAGCCGGTAAGCACCACGCTGACACTGGAGTGGGATGGGAACGCACAGCTGGTGGCTGATGGACATCTGCTTTGTCCCCCAGGGAGAGCTGGGTCTGTCAGGACCACCGGGCATCCCCGGGAAGGAGGGGCTCATGGGACCCAAGGTAGGTTAGGGCCATGCTGGGAAAAGCTCTGCTGGTACTTCAGCCCCCCCCGGCTGCCTGTCCCTGGCTGCCTGCCCCTTTCTCTTCGCAGGGTGACCGGGGATTCGACGGGCAGCAGGGAGCCAAAGGAGACCAGGGAGAGAAAGGAGACCGGGTGAGTGGGCTGAAAAAGGATAGTATGTGTTGTATCATACTGCTTTTACCAAGATCCAGCCTTGGTCAGAAGCACATCAGAGCCCAATGCTCCCAGAAGAGCTGTCCGCTGCTGCTCTAAATTATGTCACTAAACTATAAGTGACATCAAATCCCCACTCTTTACAAGAAGGAACTCATGTCAATGCTTTGGGATGCCGAGCTGCGGGGTCAGAGGATGCCCATGGGACCTGCTCTGGGGGTGGAGGCTCTGACACCCCCAGTCTCACCCTCTACTCTCCTGCAGGGTGCCCCAGGCATTATCGGTGGCCCTGGTCCCCGGGGTAGTGACGGTGCTCCTGGCCCTCCCGGGCCCCCAGGGAGCGTTGGCCCACGAGGTCCTGAGGGCATGCAGGGCCAGAAGGTGAGTCCCCACCGTGGGTGGCCAGTCCTGCTCTGGGTGCCATGAGGAGGGGAGGTCCCTGTCCCTGGTGTGGGCAAGGGGTTGGTGACATCAGGAGCCGTGTCCCAGCTCAGTCCCTGCCTTGCCAGCTCGCTGGCTTTGGGATCCTCCCTTGTGTCCCCCTGCCCAGGGGATGGGAGTGTGGGGTGGGTGGGACCCTGCTTGTCCTGAGGCTGGGCTGTACCCATCCCCACCTGCACAGGCATCCCAGGGGTGTGGGGACAGGGAAGGAAGCACATCCATGGGGCTGGGGAGAACAGAGAGGCTCCAGAGCCACCAGCCAGGTCCTGAGCATGTGTCCTTTGCAGGGGGAGAGAGGCCCCCCTGGACAGTCGGTGCCGGGGGGCCGTGGCACCCCCGGCGAGAGGGGAGAGCAGGTGGGTGAGCGGGTGCCTGGCCCTGCCTGGGCAAGCCCCAGCCAAGGCCAGCTTCCCACCTCCCTTCTGCTTGTCCCTAGGGCAGTCCCGGCACCCAGGGGCTCCGTGGGGAGAAGGGGGAGCCGGGCATGACGGTAAGGAGCCAGGAGGGAGCC